ACATTAGGGCTGAAGTTAGTAAGGAAGAAAAAACAAAACTAAGTTAATAAGTAAATACAAATTTTAAATAAACTAGAACGGAAGAAATAGAAAAGAAAGACTAAAAGAAATGAATTAAATTACCTGAACCCAAAACCAAAACAAATGAATATAGAACCCCTTAAATTAAATTAAATTTAGGAGAAATATAACTAAGACTTAACTATAAGTACCTTAGGCTAACTTGGCCAACTGAATTACTTACCTTGACTTACTCACCTGAGTTTCCTATTTAATTCACTTACCTGACCTACATACCAGACGTACCTAGAAGATTTTCCTAGCTAATCCAACATTTTTGCGACTACTTACCTGATATTACCTACTTTAACTTTTTACCTGCTATTACTTAATATACGTTAATTTTTTCTTTAGAATACCGGATATATTGTAATTATCGAATACTTACCTTTATCGGAGGTACTTTTCATTTGAGATACTTGCCTTTGTTTTAGATATTACAATCACATAGTTAGTCTTAGTTTTTTTTCATACACTCACTTTAGAGTTAAGACTTAGCGTTAGGATGATTATTTTTAAGAAATAGTTTTAAGAAAATGAATTATCAATAAATTTGTTAATATAAGATGGGAATGCTGACTACTTAATTACTTAGGAAGGCACATCAGGGATTTAATAATGGGGTCATCGGGAATAGGGTGCGCCGATGACCATGGCTGAGGGTGGGTCAGCACCAGGGGCCACACTTCCACCAGTGGCCCCACTCTATATTCGACCTTTGTTTAATTTTGGTTGTTTACTTTATTTTCTTAGGGCCGGTTACTCAATGTCTGGTTAACACTAATCAAATGATGTTTACACGGAGATTAGTGTTAACCACATATTGAGTAAACGGCCCTTAGTCTTGGTTTCTTTTGGATTTTCACGTTTATTTCAAATACTTACTTTTAACGTCTTTTTCAGCTTTTTTTTGTAACTGCTTTTTTTTTGAATTTTGAAATTGTGTCCGTCCGATGCTTCCGGCCATGCCGGAAGCGAAGATGTTTGACAGGCATGACTTTTCCCTGCTATGGCGCAGGGAACAGTAGTGAGGCAAGAACCACGCCCAGCCGACATGACTAGCCAAAGTGCACCCATTGTGTCATGTCGCCTGCACTCACTGCTGCTCCCAATGCTATGCGTACCATAACAATGTGTAGAATGACGACAGTGGCCGTTGACAGGTTTTAGGACCTTGGTTAAATAGTCTACTCCCGCAGGACCCAAATTTGTCAGCATCAGCATGCATATTCCATCGGGTCCCATGGCTTTGGACCTGAACTTCACCGCAAGTAAAAGCAAGATGCGCACTTGTTGTTGGCAGTTTGTGCAGCCTTTTGGTCTCTCTACGTCTGGCTTTGTCAGCCAAAGGATGTAGCGTGAATTATCGGCTAAAACAGCTCGCACATCGCTCTGGATACGAGGCGCGGTCGCCGAAAGATTTCGACTCTGTCGTTTCGCTTTGTTGGATTGGATAGTGAACTCACGGTTGACCAAAATTCACTCACGCCAGAGGTAAAGTTGCAAGTCTTCAGATGCTCTTCCCACTTCTTCCGCTTATGTACGTTCACCAGCTGCCGAATCTCCGTATTGAGATCGCTGATGCGCAGATTTCCAGGATCGGCCTGACGAATGTTGTCACGCTAGCCGCCTCAGCAAGAAAGTTCGGACTAAGGGTCCGTAACACAACCTGCTGGGACGAGCGATCTGCAACCGCAGTGACAACCCTGCGGAACTTACGCTCACCTACGCGAACGTCGGTTGCTGTGGGAGGGCAGAAAAAGTGCTTTCAGTAACTTCCGCGAAGCCGTTCCAATCAGCTTTATAAAAGTTTCCATAGGTTCGGTGTTCCGCGGAAGCAAAGTCCGCAGGTTTATCAATCGAGATGATTATGGGCATAAGGTCTGATGTTAAGGTCAGCATATGTCGCCACGTTAAGCTGTTTATCAGACCAGCGCGTACAATTGTATGGCGAGCTGCATCAGCTGCCCATATTCCTGGTGGGTGCACTGTCGTTCATTGTGCAGAATGTCGAATCATCTATATGCTCAGCCAAGTGTGTTCCCCTACGATCATTTGACAGGCTTGAATGCGAGAGATCGTGGTGCGCGTTAAAGTCGCCAACTACCATACGGTTTTCACCTCTCAGGAGCGCACCTATTTCAGGGTGATATCCTGCCGGGCAGCTGATGACAGGGGGTATATAAACGTTAAATAGCTCGCTCGACATCAGCTTGACATCGGCTGACCGGATAGCAACACCCTCACATTCTAGGATGGTATCCCTACGGTCGATGTCTACTTCGCTGAGACGATACTGCACGGTGTGATTCGTGTTGAACGCTAGGCCACCACCATTATCTCGCTCGCGATCCTTGCGGTGACCATTGTATTCGAGGCAAGTCAACAATGTTGAATTGGCGGTCACTTCGTCTCTTGGACCGCAGCTATTAATGCTCCATACCGGCCCGTAAAGAGGTTTTTCTCCTCCATCTTCCTCTGTAGTCCGTTACAGTTAAATTGTACGAGCTTCGTGTGAGAGTTGTGTGTTGACTGCTTGCCGTTGGCTGTGGAAGGTGCCGCCCTGCGGTGGTAGTGGGCGTCGTCGCGGTTGGGACTTGCGACCGAGCAGCGCAACACGAGCCCTCGGAAGTTCCTCGTCCAATCTCGCGTGGTGCGCAGACCTGAACATGCACTAAACTGCCACTAGCCAAGGCAGGTGTTGCACTTGACTGATGTCACCTTACCGAATATCCTGGTCTGACACTCCACCAGACGTTGTTGGCGGCAGCGTGTGGGGGTGGTGCGGTTGTGTCTGTTGTGGTGTGGTCTATTGTGTTGTGTTTCTGCTGACTCTACCCGTTGCAAGTATTATACTTTACAGAGGTGGAGTTGTGGTGTGGTCATCTTTGTCACACGCAGCAGGTGTAAGTTTCTGGTCCAGAGTTTTATCGGTTAGAACCGGCCGTCGTCGGAATGGAAGATGGGAATTTAAAATGTGGAAATGAAAAAATGATTGTGCTATACGTCGTTTATACCGAAAAACAGAAAATATCCTTAATTGGAAGAGAGAAGCTGCGTTAATTGCAACGGCATCATATAGAAACGGAGGCCCTTAAAAGTGGAATGTAAAATTAATGTTTACTAATACCATGTGTATGAAGGTCTATACCTTTAAGAAAATAACTGAATTTACGTGTTACGTGAACTGTATTGTTTATTTACATATGTTTAAGCAAAAAAGTAATATTGGAATATTTTTCGTATATTGAAAATGAAGTGAAAACTTACATATGTGTATTTATATTATTTTACAAGCAAGGTAAAGTTCTCATATTTAATTCGCATTGTATCATCAGGTGTATCATCCTCGAATTGGTAGTAAATGCACATATTATGCAATGCCCATGCCACATTCTGAAAATCTTTTTAAGGCAAGTAGTATAGCTGTCAAGCACCGAAATCTGTTTTTTAAAACGCAAACAATCAATCATTCGACTATATTACGCGATTTGCTGTTATTGATTTTGTTGAAGGCACTTTCGCGACTTCTTACCACTGAAGAACGGAATAGTGTAATTTACCACAGCTGAAATGGGTGTCCAGTATCGCCTTAAAAAGGGGTTTCAGTCAAATCGCACAATTTTTTATTACAAACTTTCGCCTGCGACGTTTTTTTATAAAACAATGTTTTAACATGAAGTGAAAATTTAGAATAAAAAAACAGTAATTTTTATTTTTATTTTGAGCTTCCGGCAGCATCAGCATCTGGGTTCATTTGCAACCCTTGCATGTAATCAATGAATTTTGTATCAAGATATTTGATGAATTTTGCAAATTTACCTAATTACTTGTTTTTATTATTTTCTGGCCTTATAACAATTATATTCAACAATTTTTATTGAGCTCGAGGCCGCTTTTTATATGAAAAAATATTGTGGGNACCTAATTACTTGTTTTTATTATTTTCTGGCCTTATAACAATTATATTCAGCAATTTTTATTGAGCTCGAGGCCGCTTTTTATATGAAAAAATATTGTGGACAAGTAACAATAATTTTTATTTTTTGAAAAAATTATAGAAGTGATAGCTATTTCGGAAATCACCACATTTCCTCATCAGATTTTTTTCAGTAGGATTCGAACCGGGCAATCCAATCCTTGTACCCCAACGGGCCAGTACCCTGTGTACACTGCAGTAAGTTTGTAGGTATCTTCTTTGCCCATTCTTAAGAGAGCTTTGGTTTTAAGTGGGTCGTAGGACACCCAAAACTACCGGGTAATCCTGTACGATCCTGTACGGTTCCACCTCTGCTTGGCCTTAGAGTGATAAATTTCGTTGTTACTTTTATCTTCCTGAACGAGGCGCCTATTTCCATCGCGTGGGAAACATTCAGTACGGAGCCGCACCTTGCTAGTTCGTCCGCTGCCTCGTTAATATAAATGTCCCTATGTATTCGTATTGATCAGATATATAGGCCAGTTCTCTCCTAGAGTCTTCTTCACTAGTTGAGATCTAACAGAGGTAGAAGAGAGTGCCTCAACGGCAATTTTTTTGTTTCGCCCTAAATTTAAAAGGTTGTAATCATAAAAAGTAAAAATATACAAAAACCACATGTATTTATTGTTTGCAGTTATTTTTTGCAAAATATGCAAAATCATGCATTTACTGCAAAATATGCACCAACGATTGAATGCCATTATAAAGGATATTTCACGATTCGTAAGGATAACTTAACCATTTCCATTTGAAGATGCCCAAAAAAATCTTGCATTTGCATGAGATTCCGAGCCCTATTAATAACTATAAGCCTTCTTAAGGTGGGATCTTCACTTTTAGAATCAGAAAACTCACTCCCCTCTACGCCCACTCATTTTTCGATTTTTTGTCATATTTTCCAATTTTAGGCCCTGCTGATAACTAGACAGGTGGGAACACCCACAGTAAGTACCTACTTATGTACATAAAGCAACATATCAATTTTTATTACGAATTAGGTATTTGACAAGCCCGTATTGCCACCAACTGCAACAGTACAAAAAGTGGGGAAAAAACTTCACTATATTCTAATCCAGTTTGCCCCGATAATTTTAAGCATAACAAATATTTAAATATTGCAATTAGCACTAAAAAATAAGAGCTCCACATAACTCGATGAAGTGCCTTTCTCTTGTTGTCCGAGTCAAGATACATTCGAATGCCTACGATTACGCAAAAGTAGGCATTAAAAATATCAATGCAAAATAAGGGACTGAAAGTTGTAAACCAATCGATCACAGAACTCGTATAAATCCCAGATATTTTGAATGCCAATACAATTGTGAAGGCAAGCATTCCACACAGGTTTATTAATATTTCGAATTCTGTAAGTCCAAGCCAACGAACAATTTCTGACAATTTAAACATGATCAAGGAGTCTACACCTCATTGAGACATATGCTTTGAAAGTTTAATATGCACTGCGGAATTGCTTCGTTGTTTTAATGCGATGTCTCCGTCTTCGTGAAATGGGTGTGATTCATCTAGGAAAAATAAAAATAAGTAAAAAATATGTATCGCATATAAGAAATTATTTATTTCACTTACCAATAAAATGAATAGTTGAAGTATGGATTGAGTATGATAATCCCTGACCTGATTTCTTTATTATATGTAATGCTAAATTTAAGCAACGGTTAATTGAGTTCCCCAAGCAATGGAGATATATTTCCTTGCCTCCTGTGCTGAAAATATCCATACAATGCTTAGCTTGAGCCTGAAATTAAAATGTTAATTCATATGTTACGAACTATCAATTGTGTGTATTCAGTAACTTATACATACATACATACGTAAAACGACTTAAAAAAACGGTGTCGCTGAACCCGGACCTGGGCTCGAGTCGTAACATCCGTTCACGGATCGAAAACCATACGAAAGAAAATTACGTGATACGTCGGTCGATAAGCTGAATGGGATAAAGAGTACGTTCACGTATGTCATAGTCCGAAAAATATGTTTTTACGTGATAGAGCAGGAGCCAGACCTTCGTTATTTTATAAAGGCTCAACGCTTCTCTATGTATGCCCCCAATACAGGTAATAACGTACCAGGTGGTAAAGGTGTATAAAATAGCATCTAAAATTCTTATAAATAGTATAAAGGTCAGTTTTTATATATTTTATTCGTAATAATATTAGAAACCAGTATCGTTCAGGCAATCGCCGCGTAAACACCAACGTTGACCGTCGCGATTTCTTAATTACTACTTTTACTCGCAGCCTTTGTGTTAGTTTTCTTTTTTTTTCGTGCAAAGCGAAGCTCTGCACACTCCTAACTTTTCGCGTAAACGCACTCCAACAAAAGTTCAAAAACAATAAACTAATACAACAATTTTACAAACCAGTTCAGTTGTTAAGCACTGAAAGTGCGCACACTCTCAAATACGAACGGGGTCGACCCCCCCAACACCAACAGGTTTATGGACCTGGACCCTGATCATTACCTCGACACACCGATTTTCAAAAACAAAAGATTGCGATCGACTGACTTTCCTCTACTCCCAGAGACCCACCAAAATGATGACCATATACCACGTTTTCTGGTAATCACCGCAATAGCTAATTCT